AAGCAAAAACAGCAAGAAAACCCGAGATACCCTCCTTCTGACGAGTTGACTCGTCGAGTCAGGCTTGGACTCGTCGAGTCTGCATGGACTCGGCGAGTTCAGCTATGGACTTGGCAAGTCCAGCCTCCAAAACACCAAAAAACGAATTTTTTTGAACATGTAATGCATCAATACAATTGAAACCAAGCTAGGCTCTGATACCACTGATGGGTTTTGGTCATAAGACATCTTATGTGCTCATACAAACCCTAATGCTTGGATCTAGGTTTCTCTATTGTACATGCAAGTTATCCAAGACTATAAACCCTAATTCTAGCATTCAAATAATCATATTAACATGAGAATAAGTTTATAATGTTACCTTGATTGTTATGTAGCAATAACAATCCCAAATCTCCTTGTATTGACTTTGGAAGGCTTAGAGTCACAATTGTCACTCCTCTAATGGTTCACAAACACCATAAGCAAGAGGATGAAGAGGATAGAGGTTGGAGGCTGCCAAAAACGTGTGAAACCCTAGAAAGATCATTAGCCACGCTTTTGGGTCATAAGGGTCTTATATATAGTAAGGCTATTAGGGTTATCTAACAAGGAAACCCTAATTTGGATGCTTAAGCCCTAAGCAACCCATGGAGCCTTTTCTTTAAGGCCTTGGACGATTTCATATGGGCTTCCCCATAGAATTCATCCACCTTATAATATAAGGCATTCCATGGCCCAAATTATAATTATCTTATAATTACAATTCTAGTCCCTTAAGTTTAATTAATCTCTTTTAGTCACAAAACTAATTACCAATTAATTATTGACTAATATTAATTAAACAATATGATTTCTCCTTTAATATATTATTCTCATAATACATTAATAAATCATATTTAATCCTTTCTCTCCATAATTCATCCTATCAAGTTGCTTTGGTGAAGGCAACCCAAAAGGACCATGCACCATCGGATCAAATACATACCAAAATAGTTATGGACTTAGACACTAATCCAACAACCACAAGGATCACAACTATAATTTCCTGTTATTTTTTATTGGCGCGTCATCGTCCTCACTACTTTTCTCCCCCTCACCAACAGGGAATTGTCACATATCATTCTCTTATTTTTGTTTTTTTAATTAAATATATAAAATTATAATTTAATAAATTTCCACATATTAAAGATAATAAAAGAGGAATATTCCATTAATTTTCGAATAAAAACCATTACATAGTCAAAAACCACTATTCAAATCGATGTTGTCGAACTACTTCCATACAATTTGTTTTGATCGAATCTTGGGGTGAGATTGTTTGGATTCATTTTAGTAGTAAAAAATGTAACATTTGTGTGAAATAAGTAGTAGAGAGTATAATACTTATGTGAAATAAATACTAGATAGTGTGGTATATATAGCGGTAATTTAAAAGAGAAAAAAAATCCCAACTAGTTGTTTATACCTGTTAGAGAAGAAATAAGGACGAAACATACAGTGAAAGAAGCTAGGGTCGGGGGGGGGGGGGGGGGGTCAATGTACACCAGGTGGTATGGTGTTCCCTACAACACCATGGTCACACCTCATCACCTTGCGGTGGTGGTTCCGGAATACCTGTCGGCCTAACAGTTGTTTCTTTTAGACTTGACGAGCTTAATAGGTCAAGTACTTAATACGAATAACTTTATGTGGATGTTATTTTTTGACTTTATCCGGACATAATGATTTAATGAGTTGAGCCAAAAAAAAAAACATGGGTTAATGCATTAAGCCCTTAACCCTTGATGTATTCGATATTATTTTTTCTCTCAATTCTTATTGCGAGTCTTGATTTTTTGAATATAAAGATAAAATGGTCTTAGTATTACGATTTATTTGTATTAAAAGTAGACTATTTATGTATACAAACATAATTACCCAATAAGCCACATGTACATGACTTAATAGGATATAGTTAAAATACACAACTCATTAGGTTATTTTGACTTAGTAGGAAATAATAAAATAGACAACTCATAAGGTTATTATTTTAGGATGAAAGTGAGGAGGACATTTGTCTTTTTTCTATAGACGTAAAACTTAGAAGAGTCTTCATCTCATTTTCTTACATGGGACAAAAAGTTAAATTTTTTAACTCATTATCTACATTAGTTTCACTATTTGTTGTGTCATGATTAAAAAAACAAAAAGGGCCTAAAAGTTTGTTACCTTTTATGTTCTTAACAAAAGATTGCAAAGACTTTCAATTAGCTTTCATGTAAATAAACTTGCAAATAATTAACCAACGAGAACCAAACAAAATAACTTTATTGATTGCAAATCCTTTTAGTAGGTAGAAGGTCTAGACAGTGGAACAATTTATTGTTTTAGATCATTCATAACCTTATTTTGAAGACTATGTCTATATGTATAATCATAGTCCAGCAATACAAATCCATTCTCCTACAAACAACTTGTTGCAATTCAGATTCGGGTTGATGAGGTCAAAAAATTCCGAGCTTATCTTGAACTTTTGAGCTATGTCAAAACAAGTATCTCCACTTTTCACACCGATAACAGAAGAACAAAAAGGGAGTTTTACTGTAAAATCTAAAAAAATATCCTATCGTTAAGTGAGATATAATCATGATTATTTCAAAAATAGTTCAAACATAAGAATTGGATTTTTTAAGATCAAATGTAGATGATTGATAAGTGTTAGCTAGACTTACCAGGAGAAACAACTCTGCCTTCGATTGTTGTCATGATACCAACAAAAAGGTAGATGAAAAGCATGCAGACGATTGTTTTGTTATTGATTTTAGCCATGATAACAATGAGCCTATCTATTGCTTTGGATGTTTCTAATGATGATTTCACTTTGGAGAATGTTGCCTCATTTATAGGACTTGTTTTCTACTATGAGATAAACAAATAAATCCAAAAGGACATTGTTAAATCTTGGTAAATTTTAGTCTCACCAATGAAAAATCACTTCCAACAGCTACAAACACAAACATCAATGATTCGTTAAAAATATGGACTTTGGAAATTTCAAAATACATAAAGCATACAAATGATGCTAGATTTTATTGTTGTTCAAACTTTGTTTGACTAATTGATGATGCAAGTGGGGACTGAATACAAAAAGTTACTATGTACTTTGATTATTCTTTTTAAAGGAGGAATGTGCATCCGTTAAAATTTTGTTAATAGATCGATTAATAAAATTGTAGGCCATAAACTCCCTATCTATGGAACAGAAAAGACTCCTAGGAGGCCTGGGAATCAAAATAACCTAAAAATTCATAAAAAGAAACTTACACCCAGTTCCCGAGTTGTAGCAAAGAAAAGAAGAGAAGAGAAAAGAAAGTAAGGAGAGAAAAAAAAAGAAAAGAAAGGAAAATAAATTTATCTTTTGTGTTCCCGAATTGGAGAGAAATTGAAGGAAAGTTAAACATTTTGTTCTTTCTCTCCAAATCCTTCCAAATCGGAAGGAAAGTTAGGAGGGAAAGTGATCCCTCAATTTCCTTCCACTTCCCTCCTTTAATGAAACTTGGGAACATCAATTTATCTTATTCTCCTCTCACTTCCACCCATTTCCTTTCTTTTCTCTCCTTAAATTGAACTCGGGAACGGGGTGTTAAAAGGGAAAGGAACATGCTCCGAACCCAATACAAATACATACCAAAACATAAGCAATAAGAAAATAACCAATTAACCACAAAGAGAGAAGAGAGAAGAGTCAAACTTTTCTAGGGATATATATATATATATATATATATATATATATATATATATATATATATATATATATATATATATATATATATATATATATATATATAATGAGAAAAGCATTCATGTGTTATGGATGGGGTAAGAAAGTCAAATGTTACAAGACAATATTATTCGTATGATTATTGCCTATTAGTTTCACTTAGCGATATATTTTTTTAGTTTTCAAGTTTGTTAACCCTCAAGGGAACAATGAGAAACAAATAGAACGAAAGAATAAAAATATAAAATTAAAGAAGTTTGAACGTTAAAAGGAGTGATGGACTATTTACCTTAACTAGTAAGCCACATTTTTTCTCCAACAAAATCATTGCTACGGGAAATAGAAGGAAAAAGAAAATGAGGAAAATTTCATAAAAAGTTAGGACTTAACGGGAAAACAATCGTTGTTTCCGCATTAAATAAATAAGAAGCACCAACACATATATTACCTGATAAAGTCATGTCCATATAAACTCCATCAATTAAAAAATAAAGATCTAAATCATAAATCCTCCAGAAATTATGATTGCTAGATAAATATCTTTACGCAAGTTCCATGAGCAAAAAGATTTAGTAGCTACAAAACAGATACAACAAGATGTTTTCCTAGATGCTGGATGTCCAATCCCTATTAGTACCCGATGAATAGCAACATATTTTCATTTATTTTAGGTATTATAGCATCCTACTTTCATTTTCTTTTATTACTACATTGTACTAAAAGTTTTTTTTTTCCCATTAATGTATTGTACTTCAACAAATTTACCCAATTATACATTGTACTTTCAATATTTTTCTTGTTATACCATTATACTTTGAAAAGTCTATCCAAATAAAGCAACAAAAATGTTTTGTATATGGATGATATTGCTTTAATTGACTTAACAAGCTTAATGGGTTAAGCACTTGATATGGACAACTTTACATGGGTGTTATTTTTTGATTTTATCAATGACGGAATGCCTTAATGAGTTAAACCCAAATCCTCTCATGTTAGTGGTAAAATAGTTATTTAGTATCATTCAAACGATTTATTCAGTTTAAAAATCAAAAGAAAAAACATATTTCTTTTACACTCTCACTTTGCTTTCAGTAAGTAAACTTGCAAATAAATAACCACAAGGAGAATTAATAAAACAACTTTCTTTATTGATGATATAAGAACACCATATTACAAAATCCTTTTAGTAGTTGCGCGTCTAGAAGGTAGGAACAGTTTATTATTTGGGTCATTCATAACTTCATCTTGAAGATTATAATCATTGTCCATCAACACAAATCCATTCTCCTATGAACAACTTGTTGCAATTCAGATTCGGGTTGATGAGGTCAAAGAATTCCAAGCTTATTTTGAACTTTTGAGCTATGCCAAAACAAGTATCTCCACTTTTCACGCCAACAACAGAAGAACAAAGAGGGACTGGTATTGTAAAATCTGAACAAATATCATATTGTCAAGTGAGATATATACATGATTCATCTTAAGCAGTAAGCACCAAGATGAAAAATCATATCATGAAACATATATACTTATGATTATTTTAAAAATAGTTCAAATGTAAGAGTTAATTTGATTTTTTTTAAGATCAAGTACAGATGAATGATAACTACTAGACTTACCACGAGAAACAGCTCTGCCTTCAATTGTTGTCATGGTACCAACAAAAAGGAAGATCATGAAAAGCATGCAGACGACTGTTTTGTTATTGATTTTTGCCATAATAACAATGAGTATATTGCTTGATATGTTTCTAGTGATGATTTCAGTTATGGTGAATGTTACCCTATTTATAGGACTCATTTTCTACAACGAGATAAACAAATAAATCCAAAAAAAACATTGTTGAATCTTGGCTAATTTTAATCTCACCGGTGAAAGCACTTGTAAAACTACAAAGTATTTTTTTAAATTATACGGGCTTTGGAAACTTCAAAGATATATCAAGCATGCTAATGATGTCAGAATTTCATTGTTGTTCGAACTTTATATATCTTGATTAATTGATGAAAAAATAAACGAGGAAAGCAAAATAAAAAGACGTTATACTTTCATTTATTGTTGTTATAGCATTGTATTTTGATTTCCTTTTACTACGGTTATGATTTATATATGATTGTTTCACGATCTTCATGCTCCACTTGAGGGGAGTAATGAAATGATATCATCATATCTCCACCATCCATTTTTCTCTATGTATAAATGGTTTATTCTTATAGCATCCACAAGGCATAGTTTTAAGAAATGGTTGAACTTGATATTCAATACCTCAACCATGCATAAAATGATGTTATATTGGTTATTCCATGAATATGGAGTTAAAAGACTACCATCAATGTTGAAAAAGAAACATTTGTAATATAGAATGATTAACAAATTAATACATTAAAAAAATATACGAACTCAAAATTGTAAAGAATTTAATGCATTATTCGAAAAAAAAAAAAAAAAAAACAGTAAAGTTATATAAAAAGTGAAATGGTGATACATCAACCTATTAAACTTCATTCCGTTCATCACTGCATTATGGATGTTTTATCCGTGATTCGTTTATATCCAATATTCCTTATATAACAGTGTAAGAATATTGTAGTTATTTTCCTTTGTATTTTTATATTCTTGATCGATGCATAAAGAAATCAATCTTGAGTCTTTTCAAACCATATAATATTTAGCGGATTACTCCAAATTCATGTGTCATCCTAGAAGCTGCTTTGATGGTGTTGTTCAGGTTGTGGCAACTCCTGTATGGTTTTTAAAGATGTAAAAGCTAATAGGGCGTCTTTCTTTGACTCGGTGTTATCTATTGCATTTGATCAGTGACCGACTGGTGTGTCTAAAATAGACTCGATGACTTGGAGAATATGATTTGATATTGCGATTTCTCTTTGGTAATTGCCAGTTTTTTTTTTTTTTTTTTTTTTTTTTTTTTTTCCGATTTTTGCTTCTTGTTAGTCCCTTTATAAAGTTTGTTGTTAAATAAAAAAATGTGATATACCACGTGGGAGAGGCTCGTTGAGATGATGTCAAGGTATCGAAGTATGGAATTCACCAAAATTAATGAACCAACCATATAGAGTAAGGTTTCGTCAAGAACTTGGATTTTTGGGAAACTTAGAAACGTTATGATGCAAGATTTTAATCTTATTTGATCTTTGACTAAATCCTATAATAATTCAATTTACTTTCAGTAAGTAGACCTCCAAATAATTAACCAACGAGAATAAGATATTGCAAGTTTATTTTATTGATGGTGTATCACTTATACATGCGTAAATGTTTTCACATATCCTTTTATTGGTTGGATCATTCATAGCGTCATTTTGAAGTTATATTCCGTCTACACAAATCCATTCGCCTACAAACAACTTATTGCAATTCAGATTCGGGTTGATGAAGTCAAAGAATCCTGAACTCAACTTGAACTTTTGAGCTATGTCAAAACATGTATCACCAGTTTTTACGCCAACGACAGAAGAACAAAGAGGAGCTGGTCCTGAAATTAAACCAAATATTTTATCGTTAATTAGTGAGATACACACCAAGATGAAAATAACATGATAAGTAATCATATTTATCATTTCTTATAATTTATAAAACTAGTTCGAACTTACACTTTGTTTTTTAGGATGAAAAGAATGGAAAGTTAACGATTAGGAACTTTTAATTAGATCACATATGGATTATTTATTAGTGTTATAGACTTACCAAGAGAAACAGTTCTGCCTTCGGTTGTCATGATACCAGCAAAAAGGAAGATCATGAAAAGCATGCACACAACAGTTTTGTTATTGATCTTAGTCATGATACCAATGAGCTTATTGCTTTTAGAAGTTTTTAGTGATGATTTCGGCTTGGTGAATGTTACCCCATTTATAGAACTCATTTCCTACAACGAGATAAACATACACATCTAAAAAAATCTCGGTTTTAACCTCACCAATGAAATCAATTGTAAAATGACAAACAAATATGCATCAAGCATTCGTTACAACTATGGACTTTGGAAACTTCAAAAGAATACTAATGACATCAGACTTTATCAAATTTTGTCTTGATTAAGTGATGATAACAAGAAAGCACATAAATGATGCTAGATTTTATTCTTGTTTGAAGTTTGTCTTGATCAATTCATGAGATGTAACACCCTTATCAGCAACTAGTTTAGTAACTTAAAAAGTTCGAATAACAATTGCTAATAAATTATTGAAGTTAACACCATATATAACTTCTATAAGTAAAAAACATTTGCACAACTATGTTACAATCTTAAATGTCAACTTCATTTTAAATAATAGTAGTTGCCATTTAAGATTGTATTAAATGAGTTTATTTAAAAAAAAAAAGTACACAAACATTAATATATGACAATTTAGTAAATTTAAAATTTTAAGAAAAAAGTAAAATGTTAATTATTAAAATTGAAGTCCTTATTTATCTTTTAAATTTAAACTAATAATTTAAATAAACAAACTAAAATAATTGATTCAATTTAAAAATTATAAGGAAAGCTGCATTAATGAATTTGATATACATTTATTACATTTAAGTATTATATGAAATTTAATAAAATAGAAAAAAAAACTACAAAATGACACATGATGAATATAATTTAATTTAAATTTATCACAAAATGACATGTGATATAATGTATAAAAATTTGACAAATGATAACATTATTTTCATTTATTAAGAAGGATAAGATGTTAATATTTTAAAACCCGACTTTTTAATTGACCCGATGTGACGAACAGGTTACGGGTCAACCCGGTTTACAAAATATTCTATAGCTACCATATGTAAGGGTGTATGTCCTAATGGACCTTCAAACTATTGAAAATATTTCAAATATGAGTTATTATTTTGGTGTTCTTCAAGACACAAAAAAAAAAAAAAAAAAAAAAAGTTGTAGTGTTAGTTCAAAAAGTAAGACTTATTTCTATTGAATGTCAAGATGCTTTCGAGTTTTTGAATCCATAAAATCTCCACTATTTACTAAAATAAAATATGCAAATTTAATAAAGTTTTTACTTAACATGAAAAGATTGATGCTTCAACGAACAATGAACATTGGGCTCAATGTTGACATAAAATATGGTGAATCAAAATAAAAGACAATCGAATATTAAGTCAAAATCATTTAATGTTTTGTTTCATAACATTTTTTAAATATATATCTACAATCCTGTTGAAAGTAATATATAAATATAAATAAAGTAATATATAAATATAAATATGTATCGTCGTAACATTGTTTTTTAACTAGGTTTAAACGAGGTTTTCATAATGGGTGGGGTCAACACAAGTTAAATGCTTTTATGGTAAAACCACCCGATTCATAAATAGTCAAAAACTCGCTCTTAGTTGATCTAATCTCTTCACCAGTTCATGGTTCAATCAGTTCGATCACCCAGGTTATCCCATGTTTTAAAACATTGTAGGACGTCACCTCTTCCGGTCACCTTATCTCGAGTGGCTATGTGCTTTGTCAAATGTTAGTATTTGAGTAGAAGAAGCTTACTTTTCTCTAATACGATTCAGGGCTATACAAATTCATTTTATACCTTCTATAGGCTACCGATTTGTCTGAAGTTGCTTTGTTGTGTCTTGGTATCATGTAAGTCCTTGGAAAAATTGAAGCGGAAATTAGCCGAAATCCACTCTTGAAACACGCAATAAATCTCATGGGAGTGGGGGGTGGTATTTGGCCATATCGTCTGTTAGAGATGGCTCACTCATAAATTATTTCTAGAATGGAAACTACTTAAAAGAAAATGCAAACAGATGTCTGAGAAAACTATGTGAATAAGTGAGCTATTGAAGCTTGTTTGTCTATAATAACTCTTATAAGTATAATTAAAGAAATGTTAGCTAAGATAAACATGTTGAAATTAGGGTTTTTCGATTGGATAGATTGGTTCGGTCTTTTGTTTTGATTTGGAGTTATTGAACTTAAGTGTTTCTGTGTTTTTTTATTGTTTTATTTAAGGATCGATTTGTGTTAGTTGGTTTGTCATCCCTTACTCTTAAATGAATCAATCATCGGGTAACTCACTAGTCAAACTCATTGTTTAATTTATTTTGTTGTGTATTCAAACTGAAGACCCTAGCTTGGTTTAGAAATTGTCGTGTACTTTTAGAATGCCACAAACTGCATGGTGAGAATGAACCCTGTTTTGATATGTTTATTGCTAACAACCTCACAAAATTCTAAACTTGATTAAGTGTATTATTTTTGGACCAAAATGTTTTTTTTGCAAACATAAACTACGAAGTTTTAGGAAATTCCCAAAACTATTTTTCTTAAGTATGGTTTCAAATACACCCTATCAGTGCCCCGAAAACATTTGAACAATTTACATGCAAAATATGCTAGGATTTTGGAAAAAGTCAATTATGTTTTCGAGCACAAATTAGGACTCTCTAACTTGATGGCTTATATACTTACTATGATACAACATTTTCACAATCAATAATAAAAGTGTTTGGGTTGGCATTGTTGATAGAACTATATTAATATTTATGATGATTTCAATGTAACCTAGGAAGAAATTAACATAAAGCAAAGCAACACAAATGAAATAGCAAAATATTAGAGAGGTAACTTTTCAGTGGAGTTTCTTTTGCCTCACATGGACTTCCCTGCTAGATACGATAATCAAATTTCTACATGAAGGAGGATTAAAAGGACATCCAGGTAGAGATAGTAAAACCATTTCAATAGAAGAAATGTACTCTTAACTATAACTAAATGAAACATGGCAGTTTCATCCAACAATATGAAGGAAAGACTCAAAATACGTGCCTTTATATGCCTTTAAAAATTCTTTCAAGGCTATAGGAAGACATCTATATAGACTTTATTTTTCATGTGATGACATCGTAATATATATATATATATATATATATATATATATATATATATATATATATATATATATATATATATATAGATCCGGTAACAAATTTTTTTTGGTAGGAAGGTAAGAAGTTTTTTTTCTACATATTTTTTTGACGAACAAAATAAATAAATCACTAGATGATTCATTTGTAAGATTCTTCATAAGAAAAAATTCCCAAAAAAACATCTTTATGATTCATTTTTAAGTAAATTAAGAAAAAATTCATTTTTATGATAATTTTAGTGAATAATAACAAAATCACTGTATAAATGAATCATCGAGATGTTTTTTTGAGAATTTTTTCTTGTGAATTATCTTACATATGAATCATCTAATGATTCATTTTGTTTGTTCGTGAAAAAAATATGTAGAAAAAAAACTTCTTACCTTCCTACCAAAAATTTCCTTCTTATTTGATCTTGACTCTCTCTCTCTCTCTCTCTCTCTCTCTCTATATATATATATATATATATTATATATATATATATATATATATGCTTAGGTTATTTTATTTAAACTAAGTATTGTGTTATTGTATGCATAATTGTGGGCCAATTATTTTACTTATTTTTGAAAAGTGAATGATACATATTATTAAATTAAATATAATTAAAAAAATACCATCTAGTTTCATTCTAAGGGTATTTTAATCAATTAACATAAATTTAAAAAGGGAAAATTGCATATTTTAAGGGAAAATAAATTCTATTAATTTTAAAAATCTGATTCTATGGATGATAATTCTCCTAATTCGAAAATGTTGACGGAATGTGTTTATCAATATATTGAAAAATAACAAATATGATTGAACCATACAAGAATACACATTCTGACGTTATATATATATATATATATATATATATATATATATATATATATATATATATATATATATATATTGATTTAATGAACTTTTTGAAGAATAATAAAATTTTGGTTACAAGTTAAAAAAATTCATCACATTCTTAGAAAAAGAAAATTTTGTATAGTATTCTATGAGAAGGTTACACCTATTAATAACAAAAAAAAAAAACACAATATATAAATCATTCTAACAGAATATATTGTTACATATATTTTCTTCATTATATTGTATATTATTCTGTTAGAACAATTCATTCTTTTTGTAAGATTGGTGGCCATTGTTCGTCTTCATCTCATACAATATTCATCTTCAAGATTCTATTCTGACCGAATCAGAATTCAAGATTCCATTCCAGTAGAATGTTGTAAGTTTCATATGTACCATGTTTTGATTTGATATTTTTCGTTTCGTTCCCAACCATGGAAACAAGAACATTCTTGTTCTTGATTTAATGTATACCTACAAATGAGAAATACAACCACTCATTATTATTGCTTAATCATCTTTCCATGGCAATTTCAAGCAATAAACACCACATCGAATTCTATCAAGCAAAAGAAACAATTTCCTGTAAAACATTAACCCAGAAATCTATTTCATTCATCCATTTCTATCAAGAACAATCAAATCCAAAATCCATTAACACTCCACTGAATTTTTGTCAAAACAATGGATCAGAACATTCTCCACTTGTTATATAATAAAAACCGAGAAACAAAAGATCAGAACATTATTACCTTTCTAAGGTTATTTTAGAAGTAGTTGTTAAATTCAATAAAAATATTCTTCACATATATTTTTTGAAAGCAAATCTCGAAGTCCTATGATGAACAGATGATGAACGCATTGCATCTCAATTTGGATTGTCAATCAATAAAAAGTCAAAATCAGAATAGTGATTACAATTGGAACAAATTGTATTGAATTTGCGGTCGGTAGTGTGATAATCGGAGCGAACGAAATCGGGTTTTGAATTTAACTGGATTGATCTAAGGATATTCACCATTGAATGGTTAAACAGAAAAGTCAAAATTGAGATATTGCAAACTTCTTACCTGCGAACGATCTAATATTCAGAGTTGAAAACCTAGGCTTGCACTCATATCCTCAATGATGCCTCTTCACAACGCAATTGCATCTGCAAGCAGATTAGCGTTAATGTCTGGTATGAGAACAATCGCATCTCAACCCACCATAATTTCAAGAACCCTAGCCCCAAAACATGTACCTATTTCTCCATTTTCGTCATCTACAAGAACACTCCCTCGTGCAGCTTCAAGGTAGAAGCTTTACCGATTACACATACAAAAAAAAACACACGCATAACAACCAACCCTATTTTTAAATTCTGCGAAATGATTTAAGCTTTGTGGTGTTATTCTTCAGGATTTTTGGGGCATTGGGAATGGTTGAATCCATGATGCCTCTTCACAGCGCAATTTCTTCTGCTCTTCGTCTCAAATCGAGCCTTGCAGTTGATTCCGCATGCTGGCCGACATTGGTGGATGAAGGCAACGAGTGGTGGAGGACCGTCGGTGATGATGATAATTATGGTTGTGATGACGAGTGGTGGAGGACCGTCGCTGATGACGACAATAATGGTTGGGATCGAATAGGTGGTGGTTTTAAAAAGCCGATACAGAAAACCTAGGCAACTAAAATCAATACTTACCATAATTATATGATATTATTTGTGGAAACTGATTATCAAATTACCTATTTATCCTTATTTATTTATTTAATTATTTATTTATATTTTTAATTTTGATTTACCGACATTTATACATACAATAACACAATTGAAATTAAACACCTGAACCTATATATATATATATATATATATATATATATATATATATATATATAGTTAGGTTGTGTGGATGAACATCTATTGTGCGGACGTGTGTGAATAATGTTATTTTGTAAAAATAATTAAGAAAATAGGTTTTTGGTAATGTAATTAGGTTCAAGCTCGCATAGCTATTGTCATTATCACACATTCTCGCTAATTAAATCATCTACAAGGGAAGTACATATATATATTTTTTTATGATTCTCATTATGTCAAAATGTTACAAAATGTGTTCTTGGTAATTGTATTTTATAGAATGAGAACGAGCAAATAATGATGTGTGAGAACAAGAAGAATAAGAATTAATTAGAATGCATGATAATGATAATAGTTATGTGGTATTGAACGTATTCATATCACTAAAAATATATTCTCTTAGTAATTGTTATAGAATAATATTGGCCACACATGTTCGAACAACAGACGTCATCCATAATTGAACCTAGTTATATATATATATATATATATATATATATATATATATATATATATATATATATATATATATATATATATATATATATATATATAAAAGGATGTTATAACATGGAAAATAAAAATATAATATTATAATAAATATAATATAAGTTATACCACCACATCTCATTAGTTTGTTATCAAACTTGTTTTCACATATAAAATGGAAATATCCATTAACAAATTACTTCAATTAGTGGTGATAGTTGTGTCAGGTTCGGGTTGATGGATTAACGCCTCAAAATGCATCAATTTATACATGATTTATATAATTATTCGTATAAGATGTTGGTGGATTGGAAACATGAACATGGACACGACATGTCTAACTCGTTTAGGTATGTGAGTTCTTAGGTTAGATTCATGTCATAGGTTGGTGGGTTAAACTTATATATTTGCATAATAATGAGGATTGGTTAATTCACGACAAGCAACATGCATAGGTTGATATGCATAATCATATAACATAAATATAAAATATTATACGACATACCACCAACTCGTAACCACCTCCGGAGGAGTCTGCTTCAAAATGGTAATAACCTTTAGAAAAATTTTAACAAAATTATACGAGTTGGCAGACTGACCCGTGAACCCAAATACTAATCCGAACACGGTCCTTTATTTTGGCGGGTGGCGGGTCAAAAATCTCAACCCCAACATTTGTATGTTTGTGACGAATTGTATCGTATCGCGGGTCGTGTCGAAAATTATCACCCCAAAATTCAACATATATATATATATATATATATATATATATATATATATATATATATATATATATATATATATATATATATATATATATATATATATATACAAAAAAAATGATATAATATTTGACAAATCGATAAATTTTTCATCAATTACAAAACTGAGTGCTGATTTTGATATAACATATATGGATATACAAAAATACTGGAACTCTATATAAAAATAATCCTTATAGACTTATAAAAATACTATCATGGAACTCTATATATAAATTGCAAAGTTATCTATATAAAAAGAGTAATTCAATTTTCAAACATGTACAAAAAAACAAGAGTAATTTTGATTTAACTGGGAAAAGAAAGTAAATGCAGCAAGAAGAAAAGCCAAACGGACATTTTCCCACCGACACTAACCGTCTTTACAAACGTGTGTGTATGTATATATATATATATATATATATATATATATATATATATATATATATATATATATATATATATATATATATATATATATATATATATATATATATATTGCATTGTTTTTCGAAAAAGATAATTACAATAAGTTGATTATAGGTTGATTTTTTATAAAAACGTGTGTGTGTGTATATATATATATATACACACACACGTTTTTATAAAAAGTCAACCTATAATCAACGTCTTGTAATTATCTTTTTCGGAAAACAATACAATTTCAACCAATAAAAATATTTCAAATATTAATTAGGGTTGTCTTATTAGCAAAATAATTGATTAATAATTTTGATTAATATAGTTTAAAGTATCAAATATATTCATCAACGAATTTTGAAGTGTTTTATAACTTTTAAGCAGTATTAAATTTCAAGCATTTGATACATGTGGCTACATTGCTTATTTTGGAACAAACTTTTATTTATAGATTATGGACTGTGGTCTAGGCAATTGTTATTAATAGTCCAGATTTATTGGGCCTAGACAGCTAGTTTGTATTGCAGAATTTATGAATTATGAATACTAATTGGTCAACAAATCAAGTACACTTTTAAAATTAAGAAAAAAAAAAAAAAAAGCTAAACCAAAAAATTAGCCCTAAGTTAAAGATTTTTCAAAAATAATCATAAATTTATCATGTCATCCTGTGAAATAATTATTGGGACGTGCAAAAATGGTAAAACAAGGTTTTTCCGAAACAAAAATTTTGCAAATTCGTCATGAAATTAAGATTTGACTGTCAAACAGTAGTTCGTAGGTTGACCTACCAAAATGTATTTTGTACTGCAAAATTGTTTATATTTACAAAAATCGTACTTTTTGTCACGTAAGTATTTTTGAAGGTTTTTTTCTTCGTTTTTCTGTGATAGACTTTTTTCACAGTAAACAAAAAATTATATTGCTTAAACAAAGTTGTTTTCCATATATATATATTTTTTCTTTGTAAAATTTCTGTCGATCTGACTTTGTTTTAGTAATATAAAGCATTTTTTGTGTTGAAATAGTTTTTAAAGATTTCTAACACAAAAACTTCAAAAAAAAAAATCTTAACAAAAAAATCACGATTTCCAAAAAAATATGAACAATCTCATATAGTTTGTGACTTTGTGTCGTACATTTTAGACGGTGAGTAGCACATATTGGCATATCAACCTGCGAACTTCTTTCGAAAGGATATCAGTTTAGCACTTCACAAGGTGACCTGTAAATTTATGGTTTTTTTAGGAAGAAGAAAAAAATCTTTAACTTTCGGTTAATTTTGTTTAAAAAAACCATAATATTAATTAATAGATTTGTCACTTTTTGTTTAAAGTTCATACTATAAGTTTCGTAATCAAATGTTGACCAAGTTTGATGCCCAAAATTGGATTGAACGACAAATTACAAACACTATAAACACAAAGAACAAAGATAACTCTTGGATTCTTTATTAATTAATAATCGAATAATATCCTCAATAATGAAAAAAAAAAAAAAGATACTTGTAAGGAGGATAAGATAAACATAAGTTCTTAACCACCATAAGAGATAATAATTGATTAGAAAAAAAATGGTAATCAATTATCTAAATCAAAACTCAAAATAAAAAGTTGATGCAAATAAAAAAATAACAAATTACTGAAATGGTCCATATGGTTTGCATAAACTTTGCGTTTGGTCCCTATACTTTATTTTGCACATTTGGCATCCTTAACATTTGCTTTTAATACACGTTTGGTCCCTACGTCTTTCTGTCGTTAGCCCTCTCAGTTAATGCACCCCACGTGCTTGGCATGCCAGAGCTATTTTTGTCTTTTTAAACATGGCGCCTAATATGAAATAGACTCTAGTCTTTTAATATTCCGGTCATGTTTTTCCTCACGTTAAAACCCTCTCCCAAATCGATCACCTTTTTGGAAAACCCTAACGTCAAAACCCTCTCCCAAGTGACGATGGTTAGATGGAAGATTTGAGCATCTATGGATGAAATCGACCTTCATGAAGCATATAGTAAGCATAGAACTTTTGTTCATTGGATTCATTTTAGAACATTAATGTAAGACTGTAAAGCTCAAGTTTTTCTCTCCAAAGGTGGTCACCCGACTGTATTCTCCATCAAGTTACATTATAGTGGAGAGTTCACAAAGTTCCCTAGCAGAAAATACGTGAAGGGAAAAGTAAAATATATTGATCTTTTGGATAGTGATACATTCTATGTTCACGACACTGATGAAATAATGGAGGAGCTCCATCAAGTCGAGGAGGGTAAGTTGTTATATTATCACTTCAGAAAACCTTTATGAGATTTAGATGTTGGTTTGTATGCTTTGGTTAGTGATAGTGACATTAATCACCTTAGTACATTTGTGGCTAGTAATAAATTGATAAATTTTTATACTGAGCATGGTAAAACTATGTTTCACACATACTTTGTGTCCCCCAGCCTAAGTAGAGTTAGGATAAAAGAATTTGTTGAACCCCCTTGTATAAGGCTAATGTTGGAATATAAGAGCTCTAAAACAGGGGATCAAGTTCAAACAGGGGATCATGTCGAAATAGGGGATCAAGTCCAAACATCAGATATTATTTAAGGGGAGTGTAGCCAAGGGGATAAGAATGGAACACCACCTATTGAGACTAATGATCAAAAACAAGCACCCCATATTGACCAAAAAGTGGATGATGATGAAGTTCAAACACCACCTGCCACAATTGATGGAGTTCAAACACCCCCTTTTACAGCTAGTGATTACTTGAATTTGGAAGATTTCATTGATGGAGTTCAATTTCAAGCACCAATTGTTGATGGAGTTCAATTCAAGCACCCACTGTTAAGTTTGATCTTAATGGACCTGATGTGGATGAGTTTGATCTTAATGGTGTTAATGTTGGTGTGGACAAAGGTGGAGGGGATTCTCAGGAATTATCTGATAGTGATGATAGTGATTTTCTAATCGATGAGGATAAGATTATAGATGAACCTGAGGTTGATATGAAAGAATATTTTCTACACATTGACAAGGATTTAGAGTGGATAGGTAATCATTCATGGTCAATTGGTATGTAGCAATGTAGTAGGGATATTGGTGACATTGAGATAGTAAACCAAGACGAAATGACATCTAATTCTTCATCTGATGAAGGTGTGAGTGAAAATATAAAAAAGAAAAAAAGGCAATAAGAATGATATAGGAAAGAAATGAGGCTCCTGTTGATAATCCTTTTTATGTGTATCAACAATTTGTTATAGTTGAAGAACTAAAATATATGATAAAAAAAAGCATGCAGTTGACACAATAAGGGAAATAGATTTTATAAAATATGCAAAAACAGGATAAGGGCTATTTACAATGGCACCATTCCAGATCTTGGTGTATCTGAACATGTTGACCAAAAATGTCCTTAGAACCTTTATGCAAGCAAGTGGAAACAAGATGTAGCTTGGGAGGTCAGAACCTATGTGAAAGAGCATAAATGCCTACAAACTAGGAGTGTGAAGACTTATACATATAATTTCTTAGGAAAGCAAATAATGCAACAAGTCAAAAGTAACCCCACTATACCTATAATAGATTTGCATGCACAACTCCAATGTGAATACCAAGTAGACCTAAGAAGAAGAGAAGGAAGTCCGTGGTTGAACTTGAAGAGATGGTGCAAGGTGGTAGGGCTACAAGGCAAGAGAAATTTGTCACATGCTTAAAATGCAAGAAAAATGGTCATAACAAAAGGAGTTGTGAAAGTCATAGTAGTGCAAGTGGTGCAGGTCAAACCAATGCAAGTGGCACAGGTAAAAGCAGAGCTAGTGGTGCAACTGGTGTAGGTCAAAGCAATGCAAGTGTTGCTGGTAAGAAGAGACCAAGTGTGACTTTAAAGAAGAGCAAGACAACAGACTAAAAGCATCCTACTTGTTTTATTTTGTGGCCTAATGTAATGGTTTTTTAGACTATGTAATGTGTTGATGTTTTTGTTAACATTATAATGATCTTTTGTTGACATTATGATGATCTTTTGAAAACATCTTTAACTTTTGTTAACATTCTGATGATCTTTTGTAATGTGTCAATGTTTTTGTTATTATCTTTTGTATTTCATTCCTTCTGCAATCATGCCAAATTATCTTCTAATTGCATTACACAATTCCATTTCAGTTACATTCAATACACAATTACATTCCATTCATGCAAAATTACCTTCCAATTACAATAAAACCAAAATACATTCTATTCCATTCAGTTACATTCCATTACAAGTCAATTACAATCCATTTCATTCCACTACCATTCCAATAAACTACAGTCCAATACATTGCAAGTACATTACGATTTTTAAATTAGAATTGTCACAAAAGAACCCAACCGCACAGTAGCAAAAACCTCAACCTTTTGTTTTTCTTTTGAAGCACTTTCATTAAGTCGACATGACCGCACATATCTTCATCAACCCAACATAGAAACCCACATCGTGGTCCCTGCAATTTCAGTAATTAGGTGTAACTTCGATTAAATGTTCAGAGCAAGCAGTAGAATTTATTAAACCTAGAATTAGTTGTCCAATACAATAGTATAATTAATTTTCAGGGTGTTTATTGGTCGTTGAAGTTCGTATAACAGTTGGATAACCAAAATCACACCTTATCGCGATTTTCGATTTCTGAAATCACCAAGTTACAGAGAAGAAGACTAGAGGTCGAAGGCGTCGGGAATAAAGATTGAATTCATCTCGTATTTGAAAATCGTTCTTATAAGGCTTTTATTTTAAAAACAAAAAATACTCCCGGCGTGCCAAGCTCGTGGGGTGTATTAACTGAGAGGGATAACGACAAACGGACATAGGGACTAAATGCATATTAAAAGCATATGTTAGGGATGCCAAACGTGAAAAATAAACTATAGGGACCAAACAGGATATTTGTGCAAACCACAGGGAGCATTTTAGTTATTTGTCCAAAAAACAGAAAAAACACGTTTTGAGGACCTAAACGATCCCGAATGGACGAAAAACACCACACATCGTGGTGGAGCAATGAGTTTTCTTAATCGGCATGTTTTACATGTCATGTGCAAATTGCATCCAATCTCGAGCTGTTGGATCACTTCGGCAGATTTGGTGCTGATGTCATCATACTTTCATTCCTATTAGGGTTGACATCATCTAGCCATGCATCATCACCTTCTACCACCTAAATCATCCTCCCACTCTTGAAAAGGACTCAACCTCGAGTCTGCTTTATGATCGGGATCGCCAACGAAACGTGACAAATCTACAACATTGAATTTAGTAGATACATTGTAATCATGTGGTAATTTAATCTTGTACACGTTATGATTGATTTGATTAAAAACATGAAAAGGAACATCAACTCTTGGTTGGAGTTTGATAAAATTCATATTCGGAAACCTTTCTTTCGTTAAATGTATCCATACAAGATCACCTTCACGATAAACAATTCGCTTGCGACATTTATTGGCTCCATTAACGTATTGTTTATTATGCTTCTCAATTTACATACGAACCTGTTAGTGAAACTCTTTAATCTAACTCAACTGCTCATCATCTTCAAAACTAAAGTGATCAATAAAAGCTAGAAGAGCCAAGTCAAGCAAGGTGATTGGATTTCTGCCATAGACAATCTCAAATGGACTCTTTCCCGTAGTAAAGTTAATTGATCGATTATAAGCAAATTCTACTTGTGGAATAATGCAATCCCACTATTTAGGACAATCACCAATCAAACTTGTTAAAAAATTTCCCAAACTTCGATTTGTAACCTCAGTTCGACCCCAACCTTGTCCACAAGGTAGTCAAAAGTGACTCACAAATTTAACATCCCGATCAGAAGTAGGCGTCTTTGGAATTCCATGCAACTTGACAATCTCACAAAAATATAAAAGGACCACATGACTCACATCGAACCTCTTGGAGTAGGGCACAAAATGAGCCATTTTTGATAATCGATCAACCACCACCATAACTGAGTCCTTCTATTGCTATGTACGAGGTAAACCTAGGACAAAATCCAAAGTCACATCTTACCATGGAGCAGTAGGAACGAGAAGAGGGATATATCACCCGACATTTCTTCCATTAGTTTTCGCCAAATGACACAGTCGACACCTTGCAATTACCTAATTAACATCCTTCTCTAAACAAGGCCAATAAAATTGGGTCTGGATCAAAGCCAAAGTTTTATCACATTCAAAATGTCCAACGAGTCCACCAGCATGACTTCGAGTATAATGACATCCCTTACCAAACTCATTAGAATACAAAGGCGATTTCCTTTAAAAAGGTATCCCTCATGGGGTAGAGAACTCATTATAGGAACCCGAAACATAATTTCTCTATATGTTGCGAAAATCAAGATCATCAAGATACAAACTACAAAATGCCTTGAACCCTACACACACATTTGCATTGTTGTAACTAGTAAATGATGATGACTCAAGGCATCAACAACCAGATTTATGCTTGATCATGAAAGAAAAGGATAACAAATATTCGACCCACTTAGCATGTATAACACTCAATTTTTAGTGCCTATTAATGTACTTCAATGCTTCATAATCAGAAAACAATACAAACTCGCTTGGCAGTAAAGAATGTTGCCAAGTATCCAAACTTAGAACAATAGTATTAAACTCTTTGTCATACATAGAATACTTCATCCTTGAATTGTTCAACTTTTCTCTAAAGAAAGCTATTGGTCGTTGATTTTGACTAAGAACTCCATCGATTCCAACACTAGATGCATCACATCCTACCAGAAAAATGTCAGTAAATTTTAGTTTCGCTAAAACAGGATATTGGGTTACCATGGTCTTCAAAACAGAAAACGCCCTTCCAGCTTCGGAAGTCCACACAAATCATTCACCCTTGAGACACTCAGTGATGGGGGCAATAATGGTACTAAAGTTTCGAATGAAGTGACAATAGAACGATGCTAAACCATGGACGCTTCGAATGTCACATAAAGTCTTCAGAGTTTGCCAATTAAGAATAGCCTCAATCTTAGACTCGTCCATCTTGATTCCTTCCCCCGAGATGACATAACCCAAGAAAGTAACTTCATGAACCAAAAAAATGACATTTGTTTCCGTTGGCATACAACCTCTGCTCACATAAAATTGAGAAAACTTGAAAAGGATGTGAGTGATGCTACTCAACAGTTTTGCTAAAAATTGAAATATATTCAAATTACACTACTAAAAATCGCCCAAAAATTGACTTAAAAACCTGGTTCATGAGGTGCATAAATGTGCTTGGGGCATTAGATAGTCTAAATGGCATAACCAATTACTCGTATAACCCATCACATGTCTTGATTGCCATATTCCACTAGTCACTCGACCTCATTCTAATATGGTGGTATCCACTTCTCAAATCGATCTTTGGGTACACTGTCACGCCATGCAATTGATCTAACAAATCATCCAGACGAGGAATAGGAAAGAAATATTTGATTGTTATGTTTTTAACAACTCGACAATCGACACATAGGAAATTCCCCACCATGCTTTGGAACCAATAAAGTGAGAGCAACACACATACTCATTCTTTCCCGAATCAAACCCTTTTCTAACAATTTTAAAACTTGTCGTTGAAGTTCTTCAAACTCTTTTGGGTTCATCTGATGGGATTTCTTATTCGGAATGGAAGACCCCGGGATGAAGTCAATACTATGTTGGATATCTCTCACTAGTGTTAATCTAGGCGGGATCTCTTTAGGCAAGATATCCATCAATTCTTCGACCAAAGGTTGGACTGTAGCTAGAATTTGTCCACCCGATTCCTTCTCTTCTACCACCACCAAAGCAAACATAAAAGGAGTACTCTTTGCTACCACCTCATAATTAGTGCATTTCAGAAACAACGTAATCTCTTTTTCTTGAACCCCACGTGTATCCAATGGGACCAATGTGATGTTCACCCCATCCTTTCGAAAACTTCAAGTATTTTGAAACCTAACATGTTTTGTGTGCCTATCAAACTACCATGGTCTCAACAACAGAATGTGGCATGCATCCATAGGAATAGTCACCAAACCTCATCTGAATATCTTTTACCAATAGAGAACTGCACTAAACAATGCTTACTAACCTTAACAACATTTCTTTTTTTTATCCAAGTAAGTTGGTAAGGTTCTGAGTGATCTTCCTCCTTCACCCCGAGTTTCTACACCATGTGGGTTGAAACCACATTCTCACAACTTCCACTATCATTTATCATGCTACACACATTGCCTTTGGAATTACACTTGGTGCGGAAGATATTGTTCCTTAACCATGAATCATCATCAATGGAATGAGAAACGACAACATTCAGAACTCGTTGGATCACCAACGATTTTCCATGATCAGGTTCAATTACTTCGGATTGCACGTTGGGAACCTCGTCCTCGTCAATATCATATTTTGGAACTGGCTCTTCTTTGGTTAAAGTCACCAACAGATGGTTCAGACACTTGCGATAAATATGACCTATGCCTTGACATTTGTAACATTATAGAGGTCGGTTATTGGTACTCACTGGGACATAAGTGTAGGGGTAGGGGCATTTCTAGCATAAACAACCTTAGGGCCTATGGGGGTCGTGGTCTTAATTACATGGATGAATCGGTTGCTCGTTATGAGATCCTTACTCTTAAGTTGCTTCTCCACTTTTAAGGCAAGTTGGCACACATCTGAATATGTCCAATAGGGTTGGAGACTAACCACATCTGAGATCTTGGGTTCCAGCACCCCCAACAATCGAGCAATAACTTCTTTTTCTTTTACTAAGTCACACCGCATCCAAAGCCAATTAAACTCTTGGATAACATCATGTAGTGACATGGTTTTCTAGGACAGATTATGATACTCTAAGAAAGCTTCTTGCCGGTGATTTTGAGGTAAAAA